ATTCCAAAAATCATTACTTTGGTTATCTTTTCCAAATCATTTTTTTAAAGTTGAAAATTCAAATACAGACCTATTGTAGGTATATGCAGAACAACATAAACATCCAACAATATATGCACTTGCCCGTTGGGAAGTAAGATAATCCTTTTATCAATACACACCTCGCCGGCTCCGGAGAATAAAATGATAAATGCAAAATCACAACTTTACAGGAAAATTAAAAAACCGTTTTAATAAGATTACTTCTTTTGGGTCCTAGGTAGGAACTTGGGAGTTAGCTTAAATGATAGCTAATTTTTAGTGTTATCTCTATACTAAGTTGAAATTTTGAAAGATTCCACTGAACTTGAGATATTTAGGAAATAAAAGAATAGACTAAATTTAACAATAACATGTGTTGCTAACATGCACTTATCATTTTTTTCTCATTTAAACTTCATTCATACGAATATTGTAATATAGTCCTGTCATGTTATTCTACGATATACGAACTCTCCAGCAATGTCGGTAATGTAATATTATCATCTTATTCTTGTTATTATTCACATAATGAATTTACGATATGAGTAAATTAGACGTTTTTTCTGGGTATTTAAATTAAACTACTTAATTATAATCAACTGTTATTTATTTTGGGACCAACATTTAAAGCCAACAAAGAGGATGACAAAAATAATACTTTTCAAGAAAACAAAACATAAGCAAACAAACATAACATAAAGTCACTCTCAAATAAATCAGTCTATAATTAATCTATCTATCTCCATACTCAAATCTTCATAATTAAGTGGCATCTTCGAGTAAACATTCAAAATCACGAAACCTAATATTCCAAATAAAAAATAAGCGAAATCTAAGTAATTTCTATCCAAAAGTATATTATAATTTAAAAAAGTCTTCTTATTAGTTACTACTCAATATTTAAAAAAAATAGTCTTCATCAGCACAGTTATCAGTTGGTGCTTCTGCCTCATCATTAAATTTAAGAGATTCATAGAAACCATGATAGTAGCTTGGTATGTCATTTGATTTACAAAGACTTATGAGATCAGAATGTAGGGCTTTACGTATTGGCAGAGTCTCGGTGTATACAATTTTTAATTCAGGACTGTTATTAATATATTGGAATATATAATGTATTGGAAGCATGTCTAGCACTCCGTTTGGATCTCTGTTGGCGTTCAATGTTGAGCTTAGAATACTCAGTGTCAAAATCATATTTAAACCGCAAGATGGATGGTTCTGAACTGGTTACATTGATTTCCATTATTTTAGACCACTTTATTTTCTTCCCTTTATCATCTTTACCCCAGTGTTTGTCCTCGAGTAATTCTTTAATGTCGTAGAAGTCACTTTGTAACATTTCTTTAATAATATATTTCTCGCCATTTACTTTGGCATTGGTAATTATTGCGTACATTTGATCTGGACTATACACAACTTGGTTTTTCAGCTCACGTTCTATAGTAGAATGCATCGAATCGCCCTCACTCTGGCCATGACCAGTCTCAAAAAATCTGTGAGTGATATTAATTTGAAGCTTTATGGCAGCAAACATGTACAGAGCGAATATGAATCTGTTTTTATTCTGCCCTGCGCAACCATCAGAATAAAATGACAAGTTTTTAATGCCTCTCTGTTTTTCTGTATTAAGAAATTGCCAAAAACAACTACCTATTTCTATTGCTCCTCTTTTTGCAATCTGCGCATGCCAAACGTAGCAATAACCTTTGCGTTGAGTGGCGTCAAATATTGTGAAATTGTAAATAGGATACTTTCTCTTGTAGTGGAATACCCCAACAGCAGATTGAGGTATATTCAACACTTTTTGCAAATCAAATATAGCTATTGTAGTTTGCAATCGATTGCAAGATTCTTTTTCTTCTTTCTTTATCTGTCGAACTCTTTCTTTATTTCGCTGATGTTGATCGTACTTTTCTTGCAAGGTTTCTCGAGTAGCGTTATCAGCTTGGCGGTAAAGAGCGCATTTAGAGCACTGATCCTTTTTTGGCTTATAGAAAGAATAATTAAATCTGGTATTAAAAATTGTCTGATACTGCCGTTTTGTAGCCATCGGAAAATCAAAACTTTCTTGTATGAACCAGGTCTTGTATAGGCGATACATTTTAGATATGTTAAGTAGTTCTGAAAGATATTTTTTGTTCGTTTCTTTGCGCACATAATGAGCTTCCACTGCTGGGAATAAGTTAATGTGATCGACTATGCTTTCTTCTGTATCATTGCGCATTTTGCGCGGTCTGTTCTGATGTAGTCCTCGTAGATCTTGTAATCCTTCGCTATTGTTATTTTTTTCCAATGCGGTATGAATTATCTGATTTGAAATACACAAAGTGCTTGCAAAAAAGGTCCTACATACTTGAACTTTTCTCTTTCTGTAAATCAAAATAGTATTTGACGGTTTGGGTGCGATTATTCTTTCGATCTAACTTGATTCTTTTGACCTTCTCAACTGTCGTGTAACTAACAATAAATTGCCATTGCCGCTCATGATCTCCTAATCTATAATACTGCTGCATAATGTCTTCTCTCTGGCTCAATGTAAATTTTTCTTCACATTTTTTTGCGCATTTACATCCTCTTGTAATCTTTTTTTTTTCGTATATTTTTTTAGATCTGCATCCCATATAGCTTTCTCCCGAGTTCTTCAATTTCTTACTCTTTACATCTTGATGTTCTTGTTCACTCCGAATCCGTTTTCTTGTCAACAATTTCTGCTTATTAGTAGAAAATGATGATGAAACTTCGTCTACACTTGCGGCAGAAGTTTCAGGCCTTGAGTTTATATCGGGACTTTGGCAGATAGCTGTTATGGTATTATCACCATCATCTAAAGTAGTTGTAGTGACTGTCAATATAGAATCTGAATTGTTTTCAGGCTGTAGAGTTGTGTCCAAACCAACGAGGTCTGTGAAATCTTCATTTTCGATGGAAGACTGTATATCATTCTCCAGAATATGTGACGAAGAAGATCTTTTGTTGAAAATAGGATTCAAACAACGTTTTGTTTTTTTTCTGCTATTAATATCGCGTGGTTTGGCAGAAACCGGTGACGCAGTAGTATTTGTGTTTGTTAAAGATGTAGGTGTGCCCGTCAACTTAGCAGCTTCATATATGATTGAAGGTGATGCGACGAAGTCGATTTGTTTGAATACGGAGGAGACATTAGAAACAGTCGAAGGCGTTCTTGTAATATTCTCAATAGCTGCTGTTAAATAATCAGAGTCTCCGCCAAAACTTGATGGACTCCTGCTAAGTCTGTGTTGATCTGGACTTGGTATATACTCTGACACGTCCGGCGAGAAGTCAACAGCAATTTCAAATTCGTCATCGTCGGAGTAATGTTTGTTCGGCAATCCTGAAATTAATAACCTAAAATGTAAATACTTGCTGATGCCCACTGAGGACTAAATTATTTTCGTTTTACTTAACGACAACGAATACGGTTTAAAACCAAAAATCAACTAGGTAGGCGACAGAACAACCTTAAATTTTTATTGAAAATTCACACTTATTGCATTGTAATAAAGTTCTGCCCGGAAGGGTTTATGTATCGTGATATCGCCTGCTAGACGTAATCAAAATAAAGAAACGGATACTAAAGAAGCAATACATATCTTTCGTAACAAAAAAGAGGCGAAAAAAAATAAAATTAAAAATCAAAAAATAAAAAATTTTTCAAACAAACATTCTTTTTTTAGCACCGCCCGGGGGGGGGAAATATTTTTTTTTTTTGTGGGGGGTTTTTTCCCCCTTCAAGAAAAAAGAAAAAAAATAATATTATTATTTTTTTGTGGGGGGGGGGGGGCCACAAAACAATAAGTAGGTTACCTTGGGGACATTTTTCGGGTTTGGATGAAAAAATTCTCTTATATAATACCCAAAAAGAATATTCCCGGCCCCCCCCCTCAGTCTCTTCATCTTAAAAACACTGCTAGTCTATTTAATATCACTATAGAATTAACACATTCCATAAATTTCCGAATCTTCCAACACAAAAAAAAAAAACTTTCCTTTGGTGAGGGAAAAAAAAAAAAAAAAAAAAAAAAAAAAAAAAAAAAAAACCTTTTTGCGGGCGCCCCCCCCCCCCCCCCCCCCCCAACGCGCCGGTGTGTGCTATCCCTTTCTTACATTAGCCCACAAAACCCGGGGGGGAAAAAAAAAACCACTGTCTTTGTTTTTCCAATTTTTTGTTCTGTGTGGTTAAAACCAAAACCCAACACCAAAACAACACATTTAAAAAAAAAAAAAAAAAAAAGGGTATGGGCGGGGGGGGGGGGGGGGGGGGTTTTTTTTAAAAAAATAAAAAAAAAGCCGAGGGGGGGGGTTATCCAAAAAAAAATTTGGGCGAAAAAGATATTTGTTATTTTTTGTACAAAAAAAAAAAATATAAAAAAAAAAAATTTTTTTTTCAATTAAAAAAAAAAAAAAAAAAAAAAAAAAAAAAAGAGAGGAAGAATAGCCCCCCGGGGGCCCCAAAAAACAAAAAAAAAAAAAAAAAGGGAAAAGGGGGGGGTTTTCCGGGCCCCCGTGTCCTGTGTAGGTAGCCGTTATTATTCCACATATCGATTTACTACTAGATATGGTATTCAGTAAACAGAAAGGAGGTATAGGCAGCGGCACGTAAAGCCGCATTTATATTTATCTGACGTGTTGTGTTGTGATGCTCTCTGTCGTGATGGCTACTGTTCACATTGATATGACGTGTTATGATGCATTATGACGGTTTTTTGTATCAGTTCCGTCTTGACTCCCAGAGAGTTCACACATTTGCAATGTTTTTTCAAGAATCATCCGATTCAGATTCAGATTTTGAAGAAGAGTTGGAATTATTGGCGTTGGCAACGCTTCTAACTAAACAAAGAAAAAGAAGAAGATATTGGATACATCCCGTAAATAAAAAAAGAGAGAACAGAGGCCAGTTTCATTGTCTCGTTAAAGAGCTTGAGAGTGATGCAGAAAAATTTCATCAGTATTTTAGAATGTCTAAGGCACAGTTTGAGGAAATTCATCGTTTGATTGAAGAAGACATCAAAAAAATACGGACAAAATTTCGTAAACCTATTGGAACAAAAGAAAGACTTGCAGTATGTTTAAGGTAAGATTTTTATTTTTCATATAAATCAATTATCTTCCTCAGAAAATTGTATGTCTGAATAATATGCCGAGAGACGAGAATCCTGTTGTTCCGAATCCAATGTCGATGCTTCCATTGGTGCTGTGAATGTCGGTGTGTAGGCAAAGGTTGATGTACTGGGGAATGACAGCATGGATGTGGATGTGTGAACGGGTGATTGCAGTCTCTGTTGTTGCGGCTGAGAAATAATCTGGCGAGTCACATTGATTGGCATTCTGCGGATTTGGTCTTGTGCTTCGAGGATGCGTATTTCGGCTTGTGATATTGCCGTGTGCAAATCTAATTTTATTTTGGACTGTTCGAGTTTAGGAAGTTTTTTTAGGGCTTTGCTCATGCTGAGAAAGAATAAGTCAGTTTCATCCATGTCTTTCTCCTGGAGCTTGTTTTGTTGTTTTTGAAGTCGCAAATCATGCGATGATTTCATCAAATCGTATAATTCATGTTAGTTGGTTTTATTGCGTACAGGTCTGCTATAATTTGAAGAACTGGATTGTGGTGTTGGTGAGCGGTTATCTAATTGAGATTGAATGGTATCGGATTCAGATTCTTCTAAATTAATATCAGATTTTACTGAATTTGGCGGTGACTCAAGATTAGTTACTGTAGTCCGAGATTCTATATACGTCTGTAAAAAATTCATCTGCTCTTCATACTTCCATGGAATTATTGATTTAGCGGCCTGACCACTTTTTTTATTTTTACGACGTTTCATGGCGTTTACATAGGCATTTCTTAATTTTGTCCACTCATCTTTACATTTATCCGCTGAAACAAAAAAAAAACATATTTTATTTTAATTACAGATTTTTGGCAACTGGAAACTCCTATCGGTCGTTGGCGTTCAGTTATCGCATGGGTTTTTCTACAGTTAAAATCATAGTCGAAGAAGTATGTACTGCAATATGGAAGAATTTGGCACCTATTGTAATGCCCAAACCTACTGAACAAACATGGAGAGAGATTGAAAAAGGTTTTGAAAAGATATGGCATTTCCCAAATTGTCTCGGATCACTGGACGGAAAGCACATTAATTTAATATGTCCAATAAATGCCGGCTCAACTTATTTTAATTACAAAAATGAGCATTCGATTGTGTTGCTAGGACTTGTTGACGCCCATTACAGATTTATTATAGTAGATGTAGGGGCATATGGGAGAAATAGTGATGGTGGTATATACCAAGAGTCATTAATGGGGAAAATGTTTGAAAATTGTCAGTTAAATGTGCCACCGAATAAACCATTAAGCCAAAATACTGAACCTTTACCTTACACTATTGTGGCAGATGCGGCATTTCCATTAAAAACCTATTTATTAAAACCATACAGTAAAGTAAAATTAGTTAACAAAATTTAATTATCGTTTATCGCGTGCTCGCCGCACTGTAGAAAATGCATTCGGTACATTGCGAGCGAGATTTAGAGTGTTTCAAGGACCTTTACAAGTACAGCCGAACATGGCGGACAAGATTGTACTTGCTGCTTGCTGCCTCCATAACCTTTTAACTCAAAATACACAAGAAACTGAAGAAATATTGACGGACGAAATTCAGGTTCACAACAGTGGCTTTGTAGACATTGGCCCTTTACATAGAAATCCATCACAAGAAGCTACTCAAGTTCGCGAAGCGTTTAAAAACTATTTTGTAAGTTCAGAAGGGCAAGTTCCATGGCAAATTCAAGCTATTAGACAAAGTAGAACTCGGTATAATTAAATAAAAGCACTTTACTTACGAGGTTGTTTCATTTTTTCTCCTATCTCTTCCCAAATAGCTGCTCTCATAACTTGATCTTTATATTCTTTACATTTTGGATTATAAATCACTTTAAATTGTCTTACGTATTCAATTAGTTGCTCTTCGTCCATTTCTGACGCGTAATAACACAACACTGGCGCGTGCACACTAGTCTGATGCGGTATGACGTCTCACGGCACCGCCCCCCGCACCTCACCCTTTCTGACGCGGACCGAGATCGCCTGTGACACGACACATCAGAAGCCGTCATAACACACCGCATTGAATAAATGTGAACGCTTCCATATTAAATGTATGAAACTGATACCGTTCTGATGCATCACAACACAACACGTCAGATAAATGTAAATGCGGCTTTAGTCTAGCGCTGGCCGATACGTGGAGGGGATTGCTGCGCATGTGTACTGTCGCGCGGGGGACGGAATGCGACTGGAGAGCCAATCGACGCTACGCGCGCCCGCTAGCCCCCCTCAGGTACCTTATTTTTTACTTCTGCGCAATAACGGTCAGCGCTAGAGTTTCGTGCCGCTACTTGTAACAGTATTAAAGGAAAGACAAAGCGATCCATTTGATTGTGATTGGTTATCAACTCTAGTCAACCACGTGTTGACAATTGACATGCGATAACACAGACCTAATAAATTAAAATATTTTTATTTATTTAATTTCCTATTTTTACAGTAACTTAATTATACAAAATTTAAACTAAGAACATGTAAACAAATCAAGAAAACATAAAACTTTAAGCTTTTTACCGCAAATTATAAATAATGCAATGGGAATTGTTAATTCAAACAGTATGCAATTAAAGAAATTATAATATAAAGTAGGTAGGTACATTAGAATAATGTAAAAAAAAATTTTAGTAGTGAGATCTTCAAATTTTTTCAACAACAGTTACACTTCTTACAGTAGGTAATACAGCGGCCTTATCGCCTAAAAGAATCGAAAAAAAAACCAGGTTTTTATTATACACAGTACTTGAACTATAGCTATAGGCCTTTATTTTTTTAATATTTAAACATTGTAAACCTATTTTAAAAGAGTAAGTGTGGAGTTTCTTGCCCATTCTTCTCCACACGAAACTACCTTTTGGAAGGGGCAACTAGAATCATCTTTATATTTTTTTTTGACGTTCAAAAGTGCCATTTTAGATGGTCTAATTGAAATAAACGATTTGACTTTTGACTTTGACTTTGAATTACTGACTAGGAAAGTTTCTCTATTGATAAATGTAACTAATATTCATTTGTATTTCTTACTTCAGACTTTAAGCATGTTCAAATAATAAGTTGTATGCAAAAGTTGTACATACAATGTTTGTTTTGATTATACAATCTTCTTATACGAGTATATGGATAACATTGCAATATCCAATAGGGCTTTTATAGCTAGGGCAACTTGTTTTATTATTAACAAGAATCGTATTTACAAACGACATCGTAACCGATACCTCAATACAATTTGCTCGTTATTTGTTATCGAGAGGTAAACCCTTTTCCGTGCCATTTGTTCGCGGGAACCTCGTAATGATGCAACCAAAGATTTACGACTAGAATTATTCAATTGTTCGTAATTTTCAAGTTTATATAAGAATTCTGTAGGCGTCATTAAATTAACTTTACGAGTATTATAATAAAAACTTTAATTTGTTTATTAAACTTATTTAAAACTGAGTGATGTATGTGTGTGTATTATCTTTAGTTCTATCCACCAGCCATAGCGTTTAGTAAACCCTCTGCCTACTTTTTAAGTAATTCTCAACCGAGAACCTTAGATCAAGCGCTGAAACTCGGTCTGTGCAAATTTTTTTAAAGATCAAGTATTTTGCACTTGCTGGAAAGATGAAGGAAACACCGGCGTGTAGCAGGCATGAAAGGCTGATCACTTATAACGAACAATTATCAACGAAGTGGAAATCTTAAGTCATAAGGGTAATGATCCACGTGTCCACATGATGTTTTCTGGACAGAACCTATGGTGACATAGTGAAATATGTACACAAATTATAATTAAAGTAACGAATTGATGGAATTTCTTTGCAAATGCAAGCAAATGCAATGTAGAATAATTTAATGCAACTTCAAAATGGACGGTCTAGTGGCAAGTTGTAATTAAGCTGATGGCTTCGGAACAATAACTTTGAAATTAATTCATAACTTAAATAGTGTTTGCGTTGAAAATCTCGTTTGCTGGAAGATTATAAACGGGGTATCTATCGTGTCATATAATAACAATACACGTTTCATAGGTGTACGGGGAAATGTTGACGTAAACTGTTAAGGCACATACTGTTCAGGTACTAAGAAGTAAATAAACATATAGCTGCCCGGCAATCGTTGTGTTACCCTAAAAGAATGTAACTTTATACGATCATATTAAATTAAGAATAAAAAATGTATCCCCTCTAATCATATATATAAAAAGCAAAAACACTGTGACACGAGATTTTTTTATATTTATTCCTTAATTAAATTAAAATCTTAAAGGTTATAAGAATGATATGGCAACAGGGTGCTTATTTTTTCACCAATCAGTCAGAAGCCTGCCTTGGTCGATTTAGCAGCGTGTTGGTGTGGGGTGCGTTATATTAAAATGAAGATATCTTATAGCATTAAAGAAAGTAAGTGTATTCTGCCACTACTACATAGAAACAACATTATTCTAAAATTCATTAAATAAATCATTCATAAAAAAATTGTACCTTATTCTTTTGTTACCTATGCCCAAAAAGGAAGTAGTGACTGTTGGAGAGAATATAGAATGGTAATTTTTGAATTTAAACAAATGAAATTGACGTAATTTTATTTAATTACATACTTTTAAGATGTTTTTTTTTTAAATTTGAGTCGAAATTAATTTAAATTTGAGTTAATGCAATTTATAGTAAAAAAAAAAATATATATCTCTTGCATACTTTAAAAGACTTTTTGGTTTATACTTTGAATATTTAAAATATGTTAAGAAGCATTTTTAGCTTAAAAATATCTTAATTAAAACCTACTTTAAAAGTTTACCAGCGGCTTTAAGTTTCGTAAAGTTTAGTTGGCTCAGGGAGGAGTAATTATGTAAATCCGGACATAATCTCTCTAACCCGTACCGTTTCTAACGCTAGACGTAAATAGTGCTTATATAACGCTCATACGATACTTTATGACAGCTTTAACAATAAAATTACGATTATTGGTACAATAGATACAACACCAAGCGTTACGTTATTTAAAGACGCGTCACGGCCTTGCATCTATTTCATTCAGTTGCTTTTAAGGAAATCGAGAAGCAGCTACTGTCTACTTCTGTGCCTACCAAAGTGAAGCAATTTTCACGATCGAACCGGGAAGACTTATGCAAGTCGAGTGGCTAGGCGGGTGAACTACAACGTAACAATGGACTTTTGTATGAGTGCAATGTGTCTTCTATATATTAAAAAAACAGAGTAAGGAGCAACCACCCCTAAAACGAAAAAATCTCTTGAGTGTAATAAGAAAAGTGACCTAGGTGACGAAAACAATTTTACGATGCCTTTTTGGGATGGTAAGCAAACCCTCAAAAATAAGAATTTGTGGAATGGTTTCTTATAATTGAAACGGTTATACGTGTGCATAATATCACTGAGGTTGTAGAAGAATGTTATCAACCTTCGTATTTATGACAGAAACATTGTGTAACAAATATGTTACAATTTACCCTTTTACGCGACGAAAACTGAAAAACACTCAACAATGTTATAAACTTTGTTTGTGTAAAGGCATTTGAGAGTAACAAGCTTTGGCTCGCATATTCCGACCTAAATTCGTATGCAAATCCTGTTAATACGGAACAAACGTTTCTTATCACGTAAACACTAAACATGTGAATACTGAGTACTTCAAAGTTGATAATAATGTGAACTGATTTTCTCAGCTAAGTAGTTATAGTTACGTAATAAAACAAAAATATAATTACGTCACGCAATTTTTGGAGATTATTATTGTTACATGGGGATCATGTAACATTAGCGCCGTAACGTTTTTCTGTTTCGTGTAATGTACTGGAAAGTCGAAAATAATATTAACAATAACGCGTAATTCAATCCCCGCCCCGCATCGTATCGCTTTTCGATAGGACCCCCCCAAAATTCGTTACGCAATACTTTAACGCTCCCTTAGGGGTTTGAAATATAAATAGTAGCCGATTCTTAGACTTACTGAATGTGCATAAAAAATTTCATTAGAATTGGTCGAGGCGTTTCGAGGAGTATGGAAACGCACATAGTGACACGAGAATTTGTTATAAGATTTATAAAACCTAAATATAGCGGATGTCAAAATGCTCATAAAAATTATGTTTATTATTTGAATTAGTTTTATATTTAACATATTAATTCAGTAATTTATTTATTCACATGTGATTTTTGGACGTCAGTTCCGAATGCTGTCTTCCCTCGGGACGTACAAATTATTGTACTAAAATATGTTTTGTAGACGGAGTCTTATAGAAAGTTATTGTTCTTGAGGCGATAATATAAATCATTTAAGGTTAATTTGTCAATAAATCATTATTACTGATCACTTCCAGCGCTATTTACTATCATTATAGTATACTAGGTATGTCCTGGGATTTCTCCAGCATCAATTTGGATTTAGGGTGAGCCATTTACTCGAAAAATGGTTCAAATATTTACCTTTAAAATATTAACGATTTTTATTAAACTCTATATATAGAATAATTATTCAAGTTTTCTTATATTTTAAAATGTAAGAATACTTTTTACCGTTCCGTTCTTTCCCATTCCCGTATTTTGTAATACTAAAAATCCACTTTACTTTCTTTTAAACCCAGCACGTACACGTGACGTTTTGACTGTTATTGCGTAAGAATTCTTACCGTTATCTAAGGAACAATATAAAACGGAATTCAAGCCAAGAATAAATAGAGTTTTGTATACGCTTGCTAAGTTATGTACACTCACGAACGTAGTAATGATCATAGTCTAACTCATATGAATATTTTGGAATAATCCGAGAAATATTTTTGTTTATAACTAACCAAATGATAATGAATGAAATAATGTGATTAATTGTGGAAACGTAATTCTGTGATGTTTTAATAATTTTGAGAAGGTTTTTCG